GCATTTGGTGTTAATGAATCTAGCACACAGCCTATTCGGTTCGGCATTCTTAGAAACACCGACATTATTGCAGAATCAGCATCAACCAGCATCCTTACTACAGAATTCACGAGACAGAAATTTTAATCGCTGATCACTTGTTCTTAACTTCATCTAGTAATATTGTGCAAGTTTTTACTTTTTTTGCTGTGAAATAAGGTGTACAGGCGATATTTTTTGACCACTACTCAAACCTTCGTTTTTATGCGTTTTGTGCTGTGCAACAACTGTATAAAGATTGTATTGCCACGGGGCCGTCTGTGTGTGTATGTTCGTCTGCCGGGTGTTTTTTATTCTCAGCAGCCACGTAACCTTTGGAAGCTGAAATTTTGCCCGTGTGTTCCCAGGCCAGATGCAATTCCTTGAGCGTGATATCAAATGTCACGCATCCCTACGTCTAACGTATGGACCGAAACGTCTTATCTTACTCTTGCCTCCTCTACTACACTACTTTTTCTTTCTGAATTCCATCGCACTTTTGCCATCTGCGCTTCCAAGGTCAGTCTGAATGCTGCACTCTGCTTACTCGCAATTCGAGTGAAATGCTGAAGTGCGATTGAAAAAAATGAAATAATACTGCTTCTGAGATTATCAACAGCCCAAAGTTGTATAGCTCCAGTGCTGACTGTACAACACTGTCTATGACGTAACAGTAGCAGTAGAACTTTATGAATTGTAAATTATTCACTTAATCTCGATCATAAATCATTTATACCTAATTTTGGAGTAGGATAACCTTTGGACAAATAATCAAGGGAGATTTACACATCGCCGTTTCTGGGGATTTTCCTTTTGCCAAGTATCCCAAGAGAGACAGCACGGTGGAGAGAAATATAGATCTCTGATTTCAAGAAAACCCCGTGCCGGTCAAGCACAATAAAAAAAACCCCCATCAACCAAAACAAACTGCTAACCAGCCCAGCAGCGACCGCGCAGACACCAACAACAGTGAAGGACAGAACATCGACAAGTGACCATTTCGTTTTTCTTCCTTCCCTCTCGATTCTATCTCCGCATATAATCCAAAAGATAGTGCTCGTTCTTTCATACACCTCTTTACACTCATCGAAATACGCGTCTTCTTTC